TTCCTTCCATGCAATGAGCACGCGCAGGTCCACACGTGTTCTAGTTATCTCCCCTTTTTACATGGCATTGAAAAATCAATAAAGATGATCATGGTGCCACATAGGTGCCATAATTTTAAAACCATCAATATTTAATCGATTAATACATAAAAAAGGGTATTACGTTGTTTTCTGTTTGGTTTCTTTAAGTGACTATTTTCTAAGCAGGCTTCATGAATCGCAACTTCGGGGAGCGGCAGGTGGTCGAAGATTATGGAATGGGGGTAGTAGAGGCCTAGGCGCCCGGCCTATTCAAATACTATTTCAAAGTCAACTTCCTCGAATAAAACTTAAAAGAAGCAATTAGGTTAATAAAGTTCAATTTTTTTTAGCGGGGGATGTCAAAACCCTCTGTAGTTACGGGCCTGAATCCGATACTGAATTTATTGAGGCCTAAATCGATGCAGTATTCGAAATATTAATATAGCATGGCTATCTTTTTAAATTGAAATCCGAATAGTAAGAAAAAATGTTAAGATAACTAAATTTAATTCTATTAGACCCCTAGACCTAGCTGATATAATAAATGTTTAGTCGTCCATATTTTTAAAACACTATTTTTGTGAAAGCCCATCTTGTTTGGAAAGAAGAGGTTTTCTAAAAAATAATGATGTGCATCGGGCACACTGAAAGCATCAATTTGCACCATTCCAGTTTTAGTTTAAGTGGAAACCACAGACGTCTGATTGAAAATAGGAATGGTGCAAATTGATGCTATCGGTGTCCCTGGTGTAAATAAAAAAAAAATAGTAGGCCTAACCCTCTTTGCAATCACTTTAAATTTGGTTGCACATGCACTGTACATCTGTTGGGGCCCTACTTCTATAATTTCACACAATAAAATAATAATGCACAGAAATATAATACAATTCGTTTAATTGTATTCTTTCAAAAGTTTTGATTGTTGATTTCAAATCAAATGTGAAGAAATCTCTCATTTCACTGGCATCGTAGTGTAGATATATTTATTGAACAACATCTTATTGTTTAGTATATAATTACCTTGAGTAAGGTTATATACATATTCACCTAAGGTAAGTTCTATTCTAGGTGAAAGCGCTTGATTTATAATAAAGCAGACAGGTTGATATACTGTTACGTTTTGAGATAATAGGCTAATAGGCCTTATCGCCGTAAATATCTCCTTATTATTTTTTGGACGTAATAGATCAGTGGCAAAGCTTCAAAAAATGTCAAAAATATCCCCATAAACTATGGAATTCTTTTGCATACTACCGGATCAAAATCCTCGTGAACTATGGAATTCTCTTGCATCATACTGGATCCGTGACGTCACTATTCCCGAAATGTAGGATGGCGATGATCTATTATTTATGCAGACTTTCTCTAAAATCAAAATTATATTAAATGAATACTTTCCACTGACTCTTATTTTTTGGAAGAAAATAAGAAGAGCCCTCCTAAATCAAAGTTTTGCAGCCGCCCGTGGACCTGCCTATGCATTTATATAAGATAGAGAAGTGATTATGGATGCTCAGTAGTGGTCTGTAGTATTGTGAGGTAACATCAGTTACTTCCCATTCAGCAATCAGAGATGCGGGTACAAACGGTTTGACACCTGTGGCACAATGGATTCTTGAACGGCCATTATTAAGTGCTGCATCTGGGGTATCCACGAGGGGGGAGGCTACCCTTTAGATCCGGAAAGGTCAAAGTGCACTCATTGACCTCATCAAAAGGTTTTAATCATCATGCAGAGTAGGCCTACATCA